CGCTCTTCCCCCACACCCCGCTCCTCCCCCCTCCTCCGCTCCTCCTCACTACTCCAGGTGCCTCTGGGAGGCGATTCCGAAATGGAATCGATTACGTAATCGATTCCATTTGGGAACCACCTCCCAGAGGCACTTGGGCGTGACTGACTGTCGCCCCCAGGTTCCTCTGAGAGGCGATTCCGTAACTGGCCTAGCTCAGTTGGTAAACCCCTGAGCTGTTGAAATACAGACCTGCGTTTGAATTCCGGTGGAAGCAGTTTGTATATCTATATATCTATATAGATATATATATTCTGAATTACCTAGTAGGGCCGCCAGTTCGATGATGATATCTCATGGCTGTCCCCCAATGAGGAAAAAAAAAAAAAGGKGGGAAGGGCATGGAAGAAAAGCATGGTCATGGTGAAAGATTGAACAAGAAGTGGGCCCGACATGAGTACCGAACGCAATTAGGGGGCCTCTTCAGACCTCACTCCACACCTACTCAAACATTTGGCATGCATCTGGCATGGCGCTTGGACTGGATGCATTATGAGTGATCAAACATTTCGAACGTATTCGGACCCTTGCCAGATGCAGATACAATTTGATTGTACTACCGTCTTCCCCCGAACACAACGCACCCTCATCATGACTGGATCCAACCGGAAAGATGGCTTGTATACATTCAGAATCAGGGTGCGTTATGTTCGGGGGAAGACGGTAGTTCAGTGGCATGAGGGCCTTTGTTTGGAAACATAGGCGCTAGGCTGTCTATTTGAGGTTTCAAACAGATCGAACATTTTGAATGAATTGTGACCTTTTTCAAAGGCTAATACATTCGAATGATGTGCATTCAATTTGGAGGGGGGCCTTTCGTTTGGAGAAGATACGCCGCCAGGCCTGTTTATTTGAGGTTGGCACGGGCACCATCTTCCCTCGTTTGCATGCAAACTCACTGTCTCTCATGATGCATCATGTATAGGAGCCATCTTTCCAGTCTGATTCAGTCGTAACGAGGGTGCGTTGTGCTCGTGGGAAAACGGAAGGATCCCCAAGGGACTGCCACTGTGACAGTGAAAGAAGCTAAGATATGGTGCACCCTTCATTATTGCTTCCAAGGGGATGCTGGACCCGTTTTCCAGCAGGTGTAGCTACCCACCATTAGACTGGAGCACCGCAGCCTGTTAGAAAAACATAAATAATATAATATAATATATGGTTCAGCCTCCTGATGAGTGGGTGAAACTCCGACAAAACAGTTTGTCATGGCCCCTCGTTTGTTGTCCTCTTCTCCCTCTCTGTGTACGGTTTACCGCGCATCTCTCTCTCTCTCTCTCTCTCTCTCTCTCTCTCTCTGTGTATATATATATATATATATATATATATCGTCAAATGGATAGAACTGCCCGGTAAACCGTAGGCAGAGAGAGAGAAGAGGACAACAAACGAGGGGCTGTGACAAACTGTTTCGTCGGAGTTTCACCGACTCATCATAGCTGGCCAGCAAAAGTAGGCAGAGAGGGAGAAGAGGACAACAAACGAGGGCCTGGGCTGTGACAACATGTCTCGTCGGAGTTTCACCGACTCATCAGGAGGCTGAACTGTATATACCGGGCAGCTCTGTTTGACAATATGTATATGGTGCACCCTTCCTGAATGACATCGGTCCGCGCTCCACTACTCACCAAATGTATGAAGTGAGAATGAATCCTTCGCTGGAACATGCAAAGATTTTGTCTTTTCTGAATGCGGCGAGTTAGTGTAGTGGAGCGAGATTCATTTTTTGTGCTAATATCATCAAGTACGTATATGCAACCAGCTCACAGAGTATGATGGGCCTCACTATGCTTTGTTTCTTTTTTTTTTTTTTTTTTTTTTCCCCCCTGATGTTTAGGGTCCGTTTTTTGAGCTGGTGGTCCCTGAAGGCTGGTATGATGTGAGAAGTTGGCAACTGAGGACTTCAATGTGGTACCGGGGCTGAGGTCCCACTAGCAAAAGGATAGGATTGAGATCCTGAATCTGGATGTGTTTTAAGCAGAGATGCAGAAAAGCAGTTCAATCTCGATTTCCTGCACATCTCCATAAAATCGTCCAGATTCAGGCATTCTATCCGATTCTCTTGCTAGTGGGACCACGCCGCGGTAGATCGTTAGGCTAAGGGCGCCGTTAGACCGTCCTTGGAGAATCCTCAGGAATTCGGATGAAGTCCTTGGAAAATTTTCTGGTTTTCGGCGTCGTCGTTACACCACGTCCTAATTCAATGGGTCCCAAGGAAAACCCTTGAAGGTCTCCAGCGGCCAATTTGATACACATACATGTGGCCGTGGGGGTGGATATCAGTCATCGTGCTGGAATGTCCGTGCGTCCTCGGTCGTGGTCCAGTGGTGGCGACGGGGAGGCCTACCGGGCTGACGAAAAAAAAAGGCCGCCAACATCCCTGTTCCAATTTCAAATTTCGAACCCTCCATTGTGACACGTCAGCGCCTGAGGCGTCTTGGCGGCTGGACTGGAGACTGGGGCAAAACGTCTGTGTGGAGGAGTGATGGCGGTCATGGCTTAAAAGGATGGCATTGGAATGTTGGGCGACGTTGCGACGGTAGCGTGTATGCGTAACAGTTCTCTACTGCGACGTCACCTTCGTGTTCCGCATGCTCTTCTACTGCGACGTCGCCTTTGTGTTCCACATGCTCTTCAGGCCGTGACAGCCTAGCTCGAACGTAACGCTTGCGTGAAACGTGGAGAGTGTGAGCGAGGTCCCCATCGACGTGCAAAAGGTGCAGCAAGAGCGCCGACAGGCGAACGAGTGGTGGATGCTTGCGCATTGCAAGTCCTGACGATGGAAAGGGAGCTCCCGGGTAGTGCGAAGGCATTAACGACACCTGAGAGAAACACGGTGGTCGCAGCTGTGTCGGTCGTCACCATGCGTTATCGCATTGAGAGAACGACAACTCGCCTGAGGATGAGATTGTTCGTTCATAGGCAGAGGCAGCTGATGCAACAAGTGATGGATGCAACCGATTTTGTGTCGTTATCGGAATCCATTGTGCAATTCTGCTACGCCATGGCATCGAGTGTGATCCCGCGGGCAACGCCGAGATGGTGGATGAGGAGAAGGACGGGAGGGACATGGGAGGATCTCCAACAGGTTGACCACGCGACGGAGGGCTACTACAAGGAGAAGCTGCGGAGTGGAGTAGTCAATGGCGCGCGTCAGCGGTCTGCTGGAGGTTTCCCGCCTGTCCATCATCGTCTTCCTCACCGTTAGTCATTTCTGTCTGATGCCAGGACCTTGCACAACGACGCACACATGGAACAACACGACAAGGAGCGGGAGAATAGTGGCCAGCAGCAGCAGCGGGAACCATCGGAGGACGTCTGCCATGAATCACAGCATGCGAGGCATGTACCAAACAAAGCTTGCATCAATGTGTCCGACAATAGCCGGCAAAACATGCTAGGCAGATGCCTGCAATCGACCGACAGTGCTTCAGCATCGCTTGTAGAAAAATAAAAAACTTCGACCGTTGGACACCACGGCCGGCGACGCGGGCATGGAAAACTCTGCTTCGTGAAGCGCCTTGCAGCAGAAGAACCACCCCCACACATTTTCACACCAACGGTAATGGTGGAAGGCCCTTGGGGGCCCGTCGGGTACTGGAGGCCGGCGATGTCCGCCCAATGGACCACGGACGACTTGTGCACCAACGTCGACTCCGAATTTTCCTGTCGGCGCCCGCTCCAGAACACTCCGTCAATCTCGGCTCCTTGAACCCAACGGACCTTGCGAGGACCCCTTGAATCCAAGGACGTTTTGGCTGGGGATTCTGAGGAATCCAAGGAAATCTCTCGGGAGCGTTTTCACTTTCATTCAAGGAATTTGGTGAATAAGGACGCGGTGTAACGAGGCCGATTTCCTAAAAATCAGATTTCCAAGGAGGGTCTAATGAGGCCCTAAGCGTGTTGTTCGGTAGTTTCAAAGCTTTTTGGTTTAGGGTCGGTTCGTGAAGGATTTGAGCTGTGGTTGGGATTTATTGAAGAACCGGTTCGCGGCTGATTCAGTACAGGGCCGGTTGAAGTGATGTGTCGAGGGTCGTTGAACAGGGGTCTGTTCGTAGAAAAAGTGTTCGTAGGCTTGGGACTAGTGTCCTTCACGTGACTTTAGGTCGGGTTGTAATGCCTGTCGGGAGCTTCTGCTTCGCACAAGTGGAGTCATGATTTTTTTTTTCGTAGCTAAGTAAGTAGAGTTCCCGACACCTCTCTACTTCTATGGTGTGCCTTTTCTTCTTCTTCTTCGTCGTCTTCCATTTTTTCCTTGAATTTCTTCTTCTTTTCTTTTTTTTCTGACTTCTTCCGTTTCTTTTTCTCTCTGGTTCTGCTGTGCATATGAGGAGTAAAATTGCGGCCATCATTATTTGCTTGTCTTATGCTGAAGAAGCATGACATTATGACATACATGATACATGCCATGCCACTTTTCAAAACGGGCAAAACAAAAAAGGAAAAAAAACAAGAAAAGAAATTTAAAAGGAGAGGCCTGCACTTTCGTGTTTATCCTGAGAACAGTGACGAGTCTCACACAAGAAAGTTTGAGAAACTATTTCCACTGAGCTTCGGACGTAATTACGGTCAGATGCATCCTGGTCTGATTGTAATTCCCCCCCCCAAAAAAAATTAAAATTGCCCACATACCCTCAGCTGACATAGAGGCAGGGAGTAAAGGTGAACTTGGACGTGGCAGGTTTTGAGTTCGCAAAGCTAAAAAAATAAATAAGTAAAACCATCAATGATATCATGGCGCAAGTTTGAAACCGCAATTTCGGTAGAAAATTATCTGTTGGGTCTTTTTTTTTTTTTTTTTTTTTTTTTCCTTTTCAGAGAAGATTAGCATGGCCGCTGGGCGAGGATGACACACATAAACCGAGAAATGGTTAAAAAAATTAAATAAAAAAATCTTCCTTTATTTTTTTCACACCATGGCACCTGCATCAAATTCTGACCATTTCCCAAAAAAAAAAATAAAAAAAAATCTGACCGTTGAAGGAGTGCATGACTAGAAGGATGGTACCAGAGAGCAACCGAATGTAGACACAACCATCTTCCCACTAATAGTAGAATACAGCACAATTCTTATAATGAATGTATCTGCCCAGAAAGTCAGCTAGTATACAACAGAAAAGCTGGTAAACACCAGATAAATGGGTATCAGTGTAAAAAGATGCATAGATGGACTATTATAGAAAATATGTACTGATGGCCTATTATAGGCTGCAAATCAGTGTAAACAACCGCAATTATGGCCAGTTGCATTTGGGGGAAAACGGTAGTTCATGCACACAATCAGGCACTGTCAACTAGTGTTTTGTATTAAACCACTGGTACTCAGTCTGGAGAAATGTGTGCCCATATATACACCGGCCGCCTGGTTGGACTGTACGGGCGAGCCTGTGCTGCGTTAAATTCTGAGGCCTCTACAGTCAGATAGGAAACTGCAGGCAGTCTGACATTGACTGACAACCTCCAGATCAGGAAGCTACAGTGCCAGAGCAATGATTGCCAGACAGTGCCCACAAAGAGAAGGAGAGAGAGAGAGAGAGAGAGAGAGAGAGAGAGAGAGAGAGAGAGAGAGAGAGAGAGAGAGAAGGAAACTGCAGGCAGTCTGACATTGACTGACAACCTCCAGATCAGGAAGCTACAGTGCCAGAGCAATGATTGCCAGACAGTGCCCACAGAGAGAGAGAGAGAGAGAGAGAGAGAGAGAGAGAGAGAGAGAGAGAGAGAGAGAGAGAGAGAGAATGCTGCGTTAAAGGAAAATTAAATGTGCTGATAGAGTAAACTCGATGGCTCGAGCACATGTTTGACTGCGCATGCGAGTTCCGCCTTTCGCACAATTTCCTCTAGGGCAGGTAAAATTGGAGCATCGCCCATCATCATTCTTGGCCGCTTGCCTCTGTCCAAACTTGCACAGCGCAGTGCCAGCTCTGCCGCTTCCAAAGCCAGGTCGACGTCCCAAGTTCCCGCCTGCGGGTCCAAGCAAAGTTTGAAAGTGGGGACATCTCTCACCGCATGTTCGACGATTGTAAAGGCATGCTTCAGCTTTCCGGTCAGCAATTCCATCATATTGATGCCGAGCGAGTAGATGTCGGTCATCGCGTCGAGGACCTGTCTTTGCAAATACTCAGGGGCCATGTAGTGTAACCCAGAGCAAGCTCCAAGGGACTTACACAAATCTTCCACTTGTTCTTCTTCCGTTAGCTCCGCTGTGAGCAACGCCGTATCGACCTCTCCTATTTTCGCAACGAAGTCGGTATCTAAAAATATACTATCCGGCCTGATCGCGCGGTGGATGATTGGTCCACCACGCACTGACCGGCTGGAGTGAAGGAAGAAGACGGCTTTAGCGATCTCTGCCATAATCCGCAACCGTACGTACCATGGAAGGACACCCCTTGCCGGTCGGCCCCCGTCAGCGATCCATTCTTTCAGACTTCCGTTCTCCGCGAACTCGTATACAAGACACTTCTCCTTGTAGCACACCCCCAGGAGGGTCTGCAAATGGGGGTGGTGAAGCGTCCTCAAGCGGTATACCACCTCTTCCTTCAATGTTGAATGCACGTTCCACACCCTGTCACAAATCTTGAGTCTTTTAACTGTGACTGGCGTCATCCTTCCAACGTAAAGATCACCCGAATGTCGTTCCTCGAGCTTGTGGTTGTCGTCAAAGTAGTTTGTACCCAACTGCAGCTCCTTGAAGCAAAACTCTCGGAATGACTGGCGACCAATGTTGACATTTTCGGTTGAGGTTTCACTACTCGCCGTACTCGGGAATCCGGGCGACACCTGTAGTTGCATCCGACATGCGTGGACTACGCCTCCCGGTGGTGTTTGACATGCACGGACTTCTCTCTCCTCTCCCCCCTCTCTCTCCTCTCTCTTCTCTGTCTCCTCTCTCGCCAATCTGCGTTCCAATTCCTGGACCTTGATCTCAGATGTCTGAAATTTCTCTTTCCATGCCTCCCTCTCTGCGACAAGTGCGCTCACCTCACACTCAAGCTGCCTCTTCTTCTCTGCTGCCTCTGCATGCGCCGCTTCCATCTTTTCCTGCGCGAATTGGCATTTTCGAAACTTCTCTTCAAATGCTGTCTGCGCCGTCTTCAAATCGTTCACCACCTTCTCGAGCTCCTTCATCCTCTTTGCATCGGTTAGGTTGAACCTTGAGTCGTTCGGCTCGTTTCCTGCTCCGGATTCCAGGCTGCTTTTGTTCCGTGTGGCTGCCGCACCTGACGCTTTTGCTGCCGTTTTGTTCCCAGAGCTCAGCTTTGATGCAGCCGCTGGCTCTATCACAAGGAACATCCCTTCGCCGACAACAACAAGCTGATCCGAAGATCTGGAAAGAGCCATGGTAGAAAGATCTCTCAGGCCGCTTGAGAATGACCCGATTGTCTGGTAGCTTGAAGCATTCACGATGTTGATCGTTCCGTTTGTCAGGGCAATGAATACGTATGGCAGCTGGCTATGGAAGAGAGCCGCGACAACAGCGTGTTCATGTTTTTCGAGGGTTCTTAAAGACTTTGCCAAGTTGTATTCCCACACCCTCACCTCGCCGGCGTCACCGCGTTTATGGCCAGTTATCAGGAGCGATTTCGCCTGGTTGCTGCCGAATTGCAGGGAAGTTATCGCAGAATTCGCAGGTGTGCCGTCGAGCGTCCCGAGCGTCGACCTGTTTTCAATATCCCAGACCTTGATTTGGCCACTGGTTGCCGCACTTGCAAAGATGTGCGATTCCGTCGGATGGAACGACACCGCAATCACAGGAGTCCGATGACCTTCGAAGACGAACTCTCTCCAAGGATCGCTGCCAGATTCGCCACCGAATTCCCACGAGTAAATGTGGTGGCTTTCGGTTCGGCTTTCCTCGGAATCGACCGCCAGAACATATCGACAGCTGATATTAACAGCAAGGCAACGGATTGGATCATCCCAGGAATCTAGCCTCTTGACTTCTTTGCCCAGTCGCATCGCGAGCTTCGAACTCTGGATCTCGTAGACAACGATCGTCCACGCACGTCCTCTCTGATATTCAACGACGACAATCCAGTCCTTCTCGGCGACGAACTTCGCCTTCTCGAAACGGCGTGCGCTGCCGCTCATCTCAACGGCAACCTGCTGGCCAAGCTCATAGTCCCATAGATGAAGGGATCGATCATAGGAAGTGAAAAGAGCCCAGGGCTTGTGTGGGTGCATGTCGATGTCTTGGATGACACCCTTGAGATTCGCTCTACATTCGCTCAGCGTCAGCTCAAGTCCCGTGGAACCTATGTTTCTGCTGTCCGCCATGCTCATGCGATTCATATCCAAGAGTTGCGAATCCTTTCTCCTTACACCACCTACCTCTCCCATAACTACCAGAAACACCGAATCGGATGGACTCTCCTTAGCAGTTGGGTGGGTTGCGGGGGCTTGCAAGGGAGGGGGTGGGGGCGCCGCAGCAGAAGAAGGGGACGAGAAAGGAAGTCGAGCAAAGGATAACAATTCAAGCCGCACTCTCCTTACCTGTACGGTCAGTGCGCTACCATGCACAGACTCGCCAAGAAGCAGGTGGCGGGGCGAGAAGAGGGTGCGAGAGCAAGTTAAGTGAAGGGCAGATTTGCTACGGAGGGGGTGGCCGAAGGGGGGGGTAAGGGTGAGAAGCAAGTTCAGTGATGGGCAGACTCGCCACCGAGGGGTGGGTGCCGTGGCGGGCGACGACAAAGGGGATACGATGCAAGTTGAGGGACAGGCTTGCCAAGGAGGGGGTGGCAGAGGGTGAAAATGGTGAGGAAGGAAGGCCAGCGAACAACTGACTTGCCATTAAGGGGGGCGGGGAAGGGAGGGTGGGGGGGGGGGCGGTCACTGTTGAGTGAAGTTAAGGCATCATATTAAGACCCCTGAAAGACTCAGACTCTGAGACTTATATTACCAATTGCGTAGATGCCAGGGGACTCATTGAGGGTGGGGGGGGTTGAAGAGGGGGGAGAAGGTGGTGAGAAAGCAAAGTGTACTTAACGGAACTTACTCACGCCGCTATCAAGACTTAAAGCGGCTAAGATTTTCTGGAATTTAAAGGGGGGAAAAAGCTGGAAGAACAAAATAGTCAGCCATTCTCTTGAGGTACTTGTTTCCACCCACAGCGCGGCGGCGCCTACCACCTCACAAAGAAAGTTTTTCAAGGTTTTTTTTTTTTTTTTTTTTTTTTTTTTTTTTTACCCCACAAAGAAAGCTTGATATGCCAAGATCATCTGATGTTCACGTTTAGAAAAATGTAGACATCCCTATATTAGGCTAATAAGATCAAGAAGAAGTGACTGTTATGTAAATGTGCAGCTCAGACGGAATATGGCAAATATTGAATTTTCAACGCATCGCTACAGTAACTCAGTCTGATCAAACTCTGAACTCTGATGATCGGGTTTCAACTTGCTACTCTGAGTACTCTCCACATCTAAAAGCTTGCTTCCATCCAGACGCCGGGAAAATTCTGCACAACATATCAAGTTTAATACTAAATTTATTAATTGTTCCAGTTTCTGAAAAGGACAGACGGACAGACAGACAGACAGACAGACAGAGTGTGAAACAGAGGTTATGTTCACGAACAATCGGAGAGACTTGTTCGGCAGATCAACTCAACAGCTGCTCCAGCCTCCCGCTGCCTCCAGACTCCACAGTCTAGACACCACAGCGACGACCCACAGACAAGAGGGCATAGGATGAGATTCATGAGGAGGAGGATGCTGCCGGCGCCCGCCGCAGAATCATGCAGAGGACAACCACCTGTCTTGCACTCACACAAGGTAATGAGCCGTTGCGAATCGGTCAACCGACCGAGCCAAGAAACGAATGGCAAAGCTTTTTTTNTTTTTTTCTTTTTTTTTTTTCTTTTTTTTTTTCTTTTTTTTTTTGAAAGTGTAGCCAGTTTCTCAGCTAGGAGAGGTGAGAAGAGCAGTGAGCACGCCCTCGTAGCTGGCTTCCTGGTCGCTCCAGTCCATTGGTGGGGTTTATGAACGGTAAAGCTTATATTATACAAGGAACGGAAAACAAAAATCCTGAAGTGCAAGATGGGTTACAAAAAAACTTACAATTTACAAAAGTTTGGCGGTTGGAAGAGGGGGCTGTGGGACAGTGGCGTCACACCGCCGTGACACCGGTCACATCGCTCAAATGCACAAAATGGTAGCCGCTGCCAGCACCTGGATCTCTGCTAATCCCTGGAAGAGTAAGGGAAAAAAAAAAAAAAAAACCCAGAAAAACAAACAAACAAACAAGAAAAAAGGAGGACACAGAGTGCTTACGTTCGCTTTTGTAGCTCAGCGACCTCCAGGGGATGAGTGCGCCATTTTACAAAGGGCTCAGCGGCTCAGCCTCTCACTTTCTGATCATGTTGTGCCTGTACAACCGTTTCGTCCTATACACTGTATACAGTCATACTCTTATGGCCACTGCCCTTCATGTTGTGCCTATACTAGGCTATACAGTCCCTTTGCTTTTGTCCACTGCCCTTCAAGTTGTGCCTATACACTGTATACATTCCCTTTTTTGGTTTTTTTTTTTCCTAATACAGTCCTATACATTGTAGACAGTCAAAAACTTATGTCCGCTGCCCTCAATTTTGCATGCCATCTCCTCCTGTGGTTTGTACCACATGTTCCGATTCCAACTCAACAAGGATCCCGACCTGTTCTTCTAATCTCTGATGTTGTGCCTATACAGTCCTATCCACTCCTATCCAGTCCTATACAGTCCTATACAGTCCTATACAGTCCTATACAGTCCTATACAGGGGCTCGTTCGACACTCCTTGGGCCGTCCTCGGGGCCGAAGGAAGTTTCCTTGGGGGTTTTCAAGGCAATTCCCGCCATCGTTCCACCTGTCCTCGGGGACGTCGCCCGAGGAGTGTCGAACGAGCCCCACAGTCCTATACAGTCCTATACAGTCATAGTCTCCGTCGAATGTCCCTGATGTTGTGCTTATACCGTCCTATACATTCCTATACATTTCTATACAGTCCTATAGAGTCCTATAGAGTCCTATACTGTCCTATACCGTCCTATACAGTCACACCACTGCCCTTGATACTGTGCCTATACAATCCTATCTAGTTCTATACAGTCCTATCTAATCCTATACAGTCCTAGTATACAGTCCTATAGACTCTACAGAGTGCAACTCTTCTGTCCACTGCCCTTGATTTCACTTGCGCATTCTCATCCTGCGGTTGGTACCTACCAATTTACCAAATGTTCGAACTCAGCACGGAGTCATGGACGGTGACGGACCTGTTCTGTTAATCTCTGTTCCAATTCTTCAATCCTCAATTCCGAGTGGTGTAATTTCTGAAGTAATGCTACCTGATTTGCTTCTAATTGCATAATCCTCTGCGAATTCCTTCTCTCTCTCCTCTCGTACTCCTCCGAGTACTCCCCAAGTGTTTTCTCCCATTCTAGCCTCTCCTTCATCACCTCCAACTCGGCCTGTTCCCGGACGTCTAGATGGAACGCGGCTGTGTTTCTCTCCATTCCCTCGTCCTTTCCCATCAAAGCCGATGCCGATTTGTCTTGTCCTCGACTCTTCGCATCTTTCCTCGTATCGCATCCACAAGCTGTGTCCACCTTCTCCCTTATCCCTTCTCCCTCCTCTTCTCCTTCTCCCCTCTTCACGATGCAATCTCGCTTCAGTCCTGATTCGACTTCCGCTCCCCCTTCACATCTCTCTATTTCTTTCCCCCTTCCTCCTCCTCCTCTTCCTCCTCCTCCTATGAAGTTTTCTACGCTTTCTTCTTTGAAATCCTCCTCTTTTTCCTCTGCCTCTCCAACGACTACCTCCACGACAAGGAAAGATCCTGCTCCTCCTAAGGCAAACATACTGACGTTCCCGCATGCGCCGCATGCGACCATCGTACACAGGTCCTCGAGACCAGTGGAATAGGACCTCACCAACTTGTAGTTTTCCTCCATCCAAATTCGGACGGTTCCATCGCTGAATGCAGCCAAGATGAAAGGCAAGGACCGAAGGAATGAGACCCCAACAACAGGTATATCGGGGTTATCATGCCCCCTCCAGCACGATAAAACCGAGCCCTTCTTGTAATCCCAGAGACAGATATTTCCCTCTACGCCACCTGTGACAAGGAACGATTTTCGTTTCCCTCCACAATTTCCACAAAATTGCACATTGTGAATGCCTTCACTGGCATGCATGGTTCGGATCACGGACCTGTTTTCGATATTCCACACTTTGATCGTTCCATTGCGCGCACCGCTTGCAAAGATATGCGATCGCTGCGGATGGAAAGCCAGCGTCGTCACATTGTCAGAATGGCCTCTGAAGGTGACCCTCAGCCACTCTTCGTCCCAATTCCATAGCTTGACGTTCTTGTTATGAGAGAACAAAAGGTAAGGTAAGCTAGGATGAACGATCAGGTCGAAAATGGGCCCGCCCTCGTGCGCTAGTTCCTTGACGTGCTTCAACCGAAAGGACCAAGTCGACGAGCAAGCACACGCCGGTTGAGTAGAGCGCTTTATCTCGAACACGAGAATTGCGCATTCCAGGAAATTACATGCGACAACCCAATCTTCCCGCGATATGAATCTTGCAGCCATCCATCCTGCCTCCCATGCAGACGGAAGCCCCTGAGTTGAAGCAACCAGCATTCTGTCTTCGTGATCCCACACCTGAAGAGATGGCCCGTCTGCCACGAACACCACCCATGGTCGACTAGCATGCACATCGATATGGAAGAGATGATTCCCTCCCTTGATGTCATCCTCTGTCCTCTTGCATGTCGGTATCAGTTCAACACCGCTCTCCGCTTCTTCGACTTCGGTGTAAGCCTCCGAACACCTCATTCTTTCCTGGCCCCCATCAGCCGGGTCCAAAAACTGGGCCATCTCCGTGAGAGTCGGTGGGACCAAGGAACAACGGAAGCAGTCCCAGCTTGGGCCAGATGTCCCTTGCGGCCAAAGTTCTGGATGGTCCTTCGAATCCCCCTTCCTTGGTCGTCCAATCGAACACAGAAAGTTTGGGAAATCTGAGCCGACCAGAAGCGTAAGAACGCGTCAGTTTCTATTTCTATAAAACAGCAACTTTCTGGTTCGTGATCATGGGCACCAATGGGGCCTGAATAGGCCCAACTGGGCCCAACACGTGGCCCATGACCTTCGTACCCCTCCCTCCCTCCTTTATAGCCTGCACTTTCCCCACACCAGGGTTTCAGGAACTTTTTCAATTTCAGCCCCCCAATTCAAAATAGAGACCCGGGTAAAATATTAAATTTTGCGCAAATCTAATTAGCAGTGCCACCTTCAATACACATCTGTTTGCTTGAGCTCATCATCCCCATGCCATCAGGATGAACCAGAAAACCCCTCGTTAGTTCCTCTCGATTCCTTCCTACTCCCAAGTGAAACTAGATTGGACTTCAGAGATCTTCAGCAGGCTACAGCAGACAGCTTCTGCCCATTCTGACTGCGCTCTCTTTAGCCTGCCAATGCAAAATAGTACAAAACAATTTGTACTCAGTAAATCTGTCAAAGGAAGGAGCAGGCTGGCGAAGAAGAAGAAGAAGAAGACGAAGATGATGACGACGAAGGAGGAGGAGGAGGACGAAGAAGAGGAAGAAGAAGAAGAAGAAGAAGAAGAAGACCGGGATGATGGAGAGGTAACACGTAAGGTAAAAAAAAAAAAGAAACAACGGCGGGCGCGGCATGTTTTGACTTCGCAAAGGCAGAAAAAAAAGGCTGTCGGCAACTTTGTCATGGCCTGAGTTCGAAAAGGCGGTTGTAGCTCAGGCCGGCAGTGGTGTCAGGGTGACCGTTTCGCTAAGGCGGTTGTGTTTTTTTTTTTAGTCAGTTTTTTTTTTTTTTTCGTTTTTTTTTTTTTTTTTTTTTTTTTTTTTTTTTTTTTTTTTTTTTTTTTTTTTTTTTTTGTTTTCCGTGCGGCCATGGCCGCGATGTGTAGGGCACGCCCGCAGCTGAGCCACGGCCGCAATGTCTAGGCCACACCCGCGGCTGGGCCACGGCTGCGATGTCTAGGCCACGCCCGCGGCTGGCCATAGCCGTGATGGGCCGCCACAGTCGCGAAAAAAAAAAAAGCCAGAAAAAAAAAAAACGCCAAAGAAAAAAAAACAAAAAAAGACCACAATCGCCCTAACGAAACTGCCACCCTGACACCACAGCCGGCCTGAGTTACAACCTCCTTTTCGAACTCAGGCCATGACAAAGTTGCAGACTGCCTGTTTTTTCTGCCCATTACGAACTCCCATGTGACATAAACGTACTTCCCATAAAAAAACAAAGAAGAAACAGGAAGCGAAGATGCGGGAACTTCAAGGTGAAAGGAGAAGAAGAAGATGATGAAGAAGAGTAAGCAGACAAAGGAGGAAGAAGAGGTCAAACAAGAGGCGGAATCAGGCCCCTTGTAGTACTGCCCCCCGGCGGGTGCCGGGATGCAGGGCACGAAGCGGGGAGGCGAGGTGCTCTCCCTCTTGGACGACAAAGCGGTAGCCTGAGATCGCAGGCCATAGGCGTTGACAGTAGCGTGGAAAACGAAGTGAAAGACACCAGCAAACAGAGTACAAGGTGGGTGGTGGGAGAGAACATAGTGGAGATGGTGGTGAAGGATGGAGACTGAGGCAGGGACGTGGCCGGCGGTAACGAGGGAAGCTTGGCGAGGGACAGAGCCAATGAAGGATGGCGAGGACAGAGCCAACGAAGGAGTAATAAAAGCAGCATAAGGGAGAAGCAACGACGGGAGGGGGGCTACCAACAACGAGGAAGCACAAACGACGTCGCGAAGGGACCGCGAGGAGATTGCGAAGGTTAAAAGAACACTGCGGCGAGGTTGCGCAGAAGAAAGATGAACAAACGAGCTGGGGTCATGCCCCCTCCTTTGGGGCCCCGGGGGTTCTCCTGGTGTAGGAAGGGCATCATTCCCAGAGGTATTTCCCTACGGCGGTCCCGATCCCAGCAATCTCCTGCTCTGGTCTCCCGCTTCCTATCATCCATCCCGACACCCCCCTCCTAGACATATCCTGACTGTTAAAACCACATATCCCGACTGCCATAACTCAGATCCCGTCTTCCCTCCTCTCCCTCCCACCCGTCACGTCCTTCTCGAACCTGTTCCCGACGACCCTGATCTCGACCCTCACTCATCCTGTGACCGTGCCACACCCCTCCCCCTCCCCCTCTACCCCCTTATCTCGATCGTCGCAACTCAGACCCCGACTCCCTTCCCCTACCTCCCCATCCTGCCATCAGGCGCCTCAGATCCCTACCCCCTTCTCATCCTCCCGCATTCGGACACGACCCCGATCCCTGTTACTCCCCGACTCCCTACCCCCCCATCCCGACTCCTTACCTTAACCTCCCCACTGTCCCGGTGACCTCGATCAATCGGGACCTCGCCATATCCCGACCCCCTCCCCTACCCCCTCATCTCTCATCCCGATCGCCACGACCTGCCATATCCCGACCCCCTCCCCGTCCCTCACCCCGATTGCCACGACCTGGATCCCGTCCCCGTTTCCCTACCTCCCCGCTATCCCGAGGATTCCGATCTCGATCCGTTCCTCTACCTCCCCGTCCCTCACCCCGAGTACCACGACCTGGATCCTGACTCCGTTCCTCTACCTCCCCGCCATCCCGACGACCCCGATCCCCCCCCCCCCCCCCCCCCCCCCCCCCCCCCCCCCCCCCCCCCCCCCCCCCCCCCCCCCCCCCCCCCCC